TAAGCCTTTGGTAATCTTTTTATTAACTTATTAAAAGACCAATTAGAAACACAAAAGTAGTTATCAAAATGACTAAGAATAGAGTGTTAAGAGTCCTGGATGTAGTTATCATAATCATGGACACTGGGTAAATTACTTCATTTCTCTAACATGGAGATAACAACCCTCATAAGTTGTCAAAGGATTAAATAAGAAAATACAAGTAAAGCCCTGGCATACATATGCCCACTCAATAAATAAGTTAACACCAAGGATACATTTGACCAGTACAGACAAAAATATTCAAAGATGGTCTATAATTCTAAAATTCAACTTCGTGTGTAATTTCTTCTAGGCTCCCCAAACAGTATCTCTTCCACAATTCTGTGTGTGTGCAATGAGGAAAGCATATACTTAGATTCATAAATATTTGTTCAGCATCCACCCTGCGCAAGATAGCAACAAGAAAGTCCAAAACACAGTGTTTAATATTTTAAAAAGATAAATCATTTCAATGAAAAACGTTTACCTAAATATTAGGGATATTTGACTAAAAGTAAGAACCAAGTTAAAATTTACCAGAGAAATATTAAATACTTTAAAAAGTTGCTTTGATAAAATTAATCTTTGACTTTTACTCCTATGTTCTACTTCTACACATGGGGCATTTATTCTTACCTAAATTTTATATTTTCACCTTGATAGGCTTCTAAAGGCCTATCAGATAGGTGAAAAGCATACAACATATCATTTCTAAAGTTTCAAATATGTGATAGGGAATTGAGTAATCTTGAAGGACCAGGAGGTATGTATGTTAGTCATATGGGGCTCAATTCTATCCACTGCCTGGGACTAGTCTTACAAACACAGCATCTCAGTCCTGAAGAACTATTCAAGTACATTATAGTCATTCACATAATTAAATATTAACTCAGTCATTCCAATAGCCCTATAAAGTATTGCTATTCCCATATAAGTGCAACAAAAATTCAACCTTTACTGAGTACTTACTACACAAAGAGAACTAAGACAATGTCACTGCCAGGCACTGTAACTAGGTGCTAGCGGTAGTTTAAAAAAAAAAGAAGAGAAGGAATACAACATGTACAACATGGTGGCTGCAGTTTAGAGGCAAAGTGCAAATGCTTCTGCTCTGGCGATCATATTTTTATTCTGTCAATAAATATTTACTGGGCATCTAATCCCTTGAAAGTTACATATCATCAGGTTATATCTTAGTCTAACATATTCTAGAACCTTGCTAGAGATAAGCTGATTGAGGGAATTATTTTTTTAGTTATATAGATGTATAGATAGTAAACAGCCATTATCTAGATTTTAGATTTGTTTGTAAACTTATTTATTGGCTGTTTTTAGAACTAACCCGCCACACCTCAATCAATGTGTTATGAAACTTGAACAATTCCTTCAAAACAGATTTAAAAATTCCTCTGATGGGCCCTTCTCCTCTAGAAACTTGTTTTATCATTCATGCCCTCTGCCTCTGTTTTTAACCTCCAACAATTCTATTCACAAGTCTCTTCTCTCAAGCCCACAAACACATTCAGTCTTTCCCATCTTTCAGATGGGTTACCACCAAATCCCTCCCACTTTCGAGGTCAAATAGTGGTTTACTCTCACTGTCTTCACTTTCTTACCATACATCCATTGACCTACTACCATCTGGTTTCTGAATTTATGGACGTTGCTCTTAGGAAGCCACCAACAGCCTCTGGATTACCAAAACCAAGGTGTGCATTTTAGTCCTTATTTTACTTAACCTCTCTTTTGCACCTCTTGATATTGTTGAATAGTACTCTTTTCTTTAAATTCTATAGTGATGCCAGATGTTATTTTTCTCCATCTTCTTAGCCATTTCTTCTCTCCCTTGCTGGCAGATATCTGCTGAATCTCCAGACCATTCTTGCGTTTTTATTAAACTCTATACCCATATAGCTAACTGCCTAAAGGATACTTCCTTTTTATGATCTAGAGACCACAAACTCAATACATCCAAAACTGTACTGAGCTTTAACCAAAAATCTGCTTCTTCTCCTTAGTGATATATCTTGGACAGAGGTACCACTACCAACATGTCAGAAATATGGCAGTCATCTTAGAGTCCTCCCTCTTTTCCAACTTCCAAATACTTTCTAATTTTTATACCTCTCTTCTCTATTCCCACTGCAATTAACTTGACGTCCTCATAATTTCTCAAGCAACAGATCTCTCTTCCTTCAATTATGACCTTTCTAACCCATCCTCTACACTACTGACAAAATGAAAATTTCTAAGAAGAAAATCTAATTATATTATTCACTTATTTAAAACCCTTAAATGAGTCCTCACTCCAAATGGTAGGAATTCTGGGCTTAAGTAGAAACTATCCTATAAACAACTCCAAATTCTGTACCTACACATATGCATTTTCCTAAAGAAAGGACCTAGGTTATCAAAGGTTAACCCCATAGGATTAAGATTGGCTCATAGGATAAACTCCTAACTCTTCTGCAAGCCCTACGAAACCTTTCAGAATCATCTCAAAACTACACCCTCCTTCCCAGTATAAATTTAAGCCAACCCCAACTACTTCAAGTTCTCAAACAGGGCTATGCTGCTTCAACTTCTCACACCACTGAACCTAATTTCCCTTTGCCTGGAAAGCCACTCCCCACATCCTCCCTAAGCGAGTAAGTACTCATCCTTCAAGTGTTCTCTCATCTATGAAATCCTCCCCTAGTTCCTGCAAGCAAATGATTTCTCCTTTCACCTACTACACTTTGCCTATACTTTTACTGAAGTATTTATCAGGCTCTCTTGTGTAATGGTATGTTGTTCAAACTGAAAGTAGTATTTCTTTAAAAAGCTTAAACAGGATTTGTTCAAAATATATCAGACCTACGATCACTAATAAACTTACCACTAATGTTTTAAAATATTAAGGAAAAAAGTTATGCCTGTTTTGTTAAAAAAAAAAAAGACGGACAATGTAAGCACATAAACAACTGCCTCATTTACTAAGTGAAAACTTCAACTATAAATGTAATTCTAACCCTCAGTAAGACTTTTGCTTAACCTTTATATTTGAAAAACCTAATTAAACATGATTTTCCTACTGCAATTTCACATTTTTATATACTCAAGTATTTTTCTTTATATTTGAAAATGTTTGCAGAACCCTAAGTGTGTGTGTGTGTGTGTGTGTAAAATATAATTAACATATATTTATGTGTCTTTAAAGTAGACATTTGTGTGAAATCAGTACTGTTTCAGTTTTCAGAAGACAAGCAAAACTTTGGGGGCAAGGCAGGAACCTTTCTGAAAATCAGCTTGAGTACACATTAGGGAATCTGAGTTTCCGTGTTACCTTAAGAAAACATCCTCAGTAGGTTATTTAACACAGGCAATCGGAAGTTCTTACTCTTCGTCACTTGATCACTAAAATATAGGGTTAAAGAGTCACGGATGTAAATGTTGCTGGCTATAAAAGCAACTTGCCTGCACAGTGGACAGATGCCAGCTGCCTATTAATCCGGGCCTGAAAATCAGCACTGAACATGGACTCGGCCACGGAATCTGAAGCGAATGTGCAGTGCCTGATGTATTCGCCAACGCCTCCAAGTGACTGATCACTGCCAAGGTCGAATTAATAAGTCTCCTTTGATGTTAATGACTGAGAGTGTTCCCAGGAAAGGACTAAAAGCTGACTGCAGGCTGCTGTTTAGAAGTATCTAAACAAACTTGCTGGCGACGGTCCTAGCCTGTGTTTGAGTGCACAGGACTGACTAGACGCGTTCTGTAAAAGACCTTCTCCCCCCACCTCCGTCCGCTGGCCTGACCCACAGTTTATTTTTATCCGTTTTTAACCTGGAGCCATCTCAAAAGCAAACTAAGAACTGACTGCTCGTCGGCTCACTTGGAGAAGGCACAACCAGCTTTCGACGGAGCGCGGCCTGCAGTCAGCACCGGGCAGAACGCGGCGGCTGGCCCTTCCCACAGGGCGAGCAGAGGCGCGACTCCGGCCCCCCAGGTTTCGGTTAGACCGCAACAGGAAGTTTTCTCTTCCCTTGCGGGGAGCCGTGCAACCAAAGAGAAATTTGAACTCCCACTCCCACGGGAGCACCCAGAGGTGCGCTTCGTGTGGGAGGGCGGCCTCGGCCGGGATCGAGGCGGCCGAGGGACTCGTGATTCGACGCGGACCGCGGCGTCCCCGCCCCGCGCAGGCCCAGCCCGCGGCCTCCCGTCCCCTCCCCGCTGTCCCGACCCTCCCGACCCTCCCGACCCTCCCGTGGCGGCGACGGCCTCGGAGCCCGCGCGGGCCCGGCCGCCCCTGCTCTCGCTCCCGCTCCCGGGGCCCCTGGCCTCCCCGCCGAGGGCGCCGGCCGGGTCGGAGCCGGCGCGGGCGCGGGCGCGGGCGCGGCGGCGCGATTCCAGGCCTCGCTGGCGCGGGCTGCACTCACCCACTCGAGGACCTTGATGAAGCCGAGCGGCTCCTTGAGCGGGTTAATGTTGAGCTGGAAGGAGGACATCCTCTGAGGGAAGGAGGGAGAGAGTCAGGACAGCGGGGTGGAGAAGGAGGGGGACCGACGAGACCGAGCAGCAGGGCCGCGAGGAAGGCCGGGCGGGGCGGGCTCTGGGAGGTGGGCCCGGGAGGCCACGGGGCGGGGCGGGGCGGGGCGGGGCGGGGCGGCGGCGGTTGAGCCGCTCGCCGAGGCGCTGAGGCGGGGACGGAAAAGGGGGCGGTGGCGGGAGGCGAGGGGTGGGCTGGGGCTGGGAAGGGGAGGCGCCTCCCCGGGCCGCACCTGGCCGAGCCTGCTGATCCGCTGGCGAACCCAGTAGATGTTGGACGCCATGCTGCGTGCGCCGCGCCCCCCTCCCCGAGGTCCAGCCCCGCGGCGCTCCGTCTCCTCCCGCGCATGTGCGCGCCCACCCCCGCACCTGCGCAGCACGGTTCGCGCGCACAGCCCTCGCTCGGAGCTAGTCCCGCGCTCACTGTCCCCGGCCGCAGCTTTCTTCCAGCCGCTTCCGTTCGCAGTTCCCAATCTGTAGACGGACCTAGAAAATATTGTTACAGATGAAGCCACGTTTCAACGCTGGTGTTAGGGGTCTTTTACTCAAATGGTGGAAAGTTGTTGCAGAACAGCTCGGGAGATCACACATTCTTACAGAGATGGAGTTTACTGCGAAAATTATCATTGGAGTCAGGGTTGAAGGATGTATATCGAATAGGAAAAGGCTTGGCCGGACAGCCTCCTGACTCACCTACCCACCTCCTACCCCATCGGGCATGTCCTCAACTTGGGGGTGGGTGGGACTCTGGGTGTTTTTCTACAGAAGGCTAATTCCTGCTCCCTCTTCGGATTCCGTTTAGGTGACGCTTACCTCTTAGCGCCGAGTTATCGGAGTCCCTAAGTTGTGACCTCCTTAGCGGCTTCCCCAGTATCTTGAAGTTCTTGGAGAGCTGGAACGGTGGCCTGTTGCCCTGCATGGTAAGATGGTTAACACCGTATAATACTTAGTAAATAAGGAAGAAATCAACTTAGCACAATAGGATCCCAGTACCCACTTTCAAGCACTTACCTATGAATTAGGTTCCTTGCCATTGAAGTTATTCTAGGAGGGTTTGACAACTGTTATTGGACATCCTTCTAAGTGCACCTGAGACCACTGTAAGTGGTAGTCCAAGTCTTCGCTGCTTCTTTTGTTGTTTTTCTTTTCTATTCCGTTTCTGCACCTTTTCTTCTGGCACTCAGTTATCAGAGCTCCAAGGTAGTGATCTCCTTACTGGCTTTCTTGCTGCTCTACTCTTTGTATTCTCTTTAGTCCATTTTTCTAAACTTTTACTGCCGTTTTTTTGAGGCCTGGGAGTGGGTTGTGGATAGTAGTGCTATTTTGGCTTGGGTTTCATAGTCACTAAGATTCAGTGTTAGATTGGACTGTTAATTTCCGAATGAGCTATACACTGCTAGAGCAGAACGCTGTTCACTTTGCAATTTTATTTATTAACTTTAAAAATCTAAAATATACTGTAATTTAGTAACCGAGTTTTGGCATTTAGTTTTTCATTTTTTTGAAGGTCTAAGAATTTAAATTGGCCAGACCCTTTCTCAGCTTCTGAGAAGCTTGATTTTGTTTCCTCTTTTGTGCCCCTCCTTGCTTTCTCTCCTGCTTCATGTTCACACCCAGCAGTGGAAGAAGGCACGGTTGTTTCTCTCCAGAAAACCTTTAGTGCTAGAGTTTGCACCTTGAACTTTAAGAAATTCTCGTCCTTGGCTATGTGCCACTAGTTTTGAAAAGATGCAGACCACTTAAGTTGAGCAGAAGAGCAATATCTGGTCACTTGTGAGGACTAATTCATAGGATCTGACTGGGCCACACAAAGCAGGAGTGAACTACTACAGTTACTTAGAGTTATGTAGAGGTTAGCACTGCTATTGCTGGTCATCTCAGTGCAGAGGAACTCCCACTTTCCTGAGAAGGAGCTGGTAGTGGCTGGCAGAGCAAGTGAGATCCGATTAGGCAACCAGATAGTTGTAAATTTTTTTGACCCTGGAAAAACAAGAGTGTTTGAACAATAGCATCTTCATTGAAGGCACAACTGTTCAAAATCTGGGAAGAATGTTCAGATGACTCTCACATTGACTGCAACACTGGTCATTTTCTGATTTGTTCTTAAAATCTGAGCTAAGAGCCGGGAGCTCTGGGTACAACATGTTCCACTCTCCACCAGGGCTGTTATGGAAAATAATACATGTAATGCAAAATTGTCCTGTCTGAGGTAGTATTATTGAGTCCTGTCAGTGGTAGTATAATTATGGCTGAGTTATCTCCCTACCCATTATTTTACTTTCTCTCTGCTGTTTATGAAACATGTGCCAGGTTATGATACTTGGGATTTAAGGATGTCAAGGGGTGAGAAGGAATGTGTGTTAGGGAAATCATATTATTGGCAAACTATTAACATTCCTTTGTGTTTGTCAGTGGTAATACCAAGTTCTGGTCATTTTATTAGGAAGATGAGACTTTGTAACTCATTCTCAACCAATATTTATCTTTCTCCTGAAAAGATAGTGTTTATTACTGCTGAGTTCAAAACCTGAATTTTGTCAATAAACACAGTTCTGTTCTTTTCTTTTTTTAAAATTTTTTATTGTTATGTTAATCCCCATATATTACATCATTAGATTTAGATGTAGTGTTCCATGATTCATTGTTTGTGCATAACACCCAGTGCTCCATGCAGAACGTGCCCTCCTCAATATCCATCACCAGGCTAACCCAACCTCCCACTCCCCTCCCCTCTAGAACCCTCAGTTTGTTTTTCAGAGTCCCATCGTCTCTCATGGTTTGTCTACCCCTCCGATTCCCCCCCTTCATTCTTCCCCTCCTGCTACCTTCTTCTTTTTTTTTTTCTCTTAACATATATTGCATTATTTGTTTCAGAGGTACGGATCTGGGATTCAACAGTCTTGCACAATTCACAGCGCTTACCAGAGCACATACTCTCCCCAGTGTCTTATCACCCAGTCACCCCATCCCTCCCACCCCACCCCCCACTCCAGCAAACCTCAGTTTGTTTCCTGCAATTAAGAATTCCTCATATCAGTGAGGTCATATGATACATGTCTTTCTCTGTTTGATTTATTTCGCTCAGCATAATACCCTCCAGTTCCATCCACGTTGTTGCAAATGGCAAGATCTCATTCCTTTTGATGGCTGCATAATATTCCATTGTATATATATACCACCTTCTTTATCCATTCATCTGTCGATGGACATCTTGGCTCTTTCCACAGTTTAGCTATTGTGGACATTGCTGCTATAAACATCGGGGTGCACGTACCCTTTCGGATCCCTACTTTTGTATCTTTGGGGTAAATACCCAGTAGTGCAATTGCTGGGTCGTATGGTAGCTCTATTTTCAACTTTTTGAGGAACCTCCATACTGTTTTCCAGAGTGGCTGCACCAGCTTGCATTCCCACCAACAGTGTAGGAGGCTTCCCCTTTCTCCGCATCCCCGCCAACATCTGTCATTTCCTGACTTGTTAATTTTAGCCATTCTGACTGGTGTGAGGTGGTATCTCATTGAGGTTTTGATTTGGATTTCCCTGATGCCGAGTGATATTGAGCACTTTTTCATGTGTCTATTGGCCATTTGGATGTCTTCTTTGGAAAAATGTCTGTTCATGTCTTCTGCCCATTTCTTGATTGGATTCTTTGTTCTTTGGGTGTTGAGTTTGATGGGTTCTTTATAGATTTTGGATACTAGCCCTTTATCTGATATGTCATAACACAGTTCTTTTCTTTTCACTGATGTATTCAACAATGATTTTAGGAAGATGTAAAAATCGGGGTCCCCGCATGGCTCAGTCAGTTAAGCGTCTGCCTTTGGCTCAGGTCATGATCTTGGGGGCCTGGGATCGAGCTCCATATTGAGTTCCACATCGGGCTCCCTGCTCAGCGGGGAGTCTGCTCTCCCTCTCCCTCTGCTCCTTCCCCCTGCTTGTGCTCTCTCTTTCTCATGTAAATAAATAAAAAATCTTAAAAAAAAACTCTTTTAGAAAAATATAAAAATCACTCCAAATTTATTGAAATTGTGCAATAGATTAACTCAGTGGGCCCAGTGAATTAATCTCAAAATAATTAAAGTCTTTTTAAATTAAATTTTAATTTTTAAAATAATTTTTGATTTATAGAAAAGTTGCAAAGTTCCTATGTATACTTCACCCAGCTTCCCCTAATGTTACATCTTCTATTACCAAGAGACACGTGTCAAAAAAAGGAAAGTAACATTGGTGTATTAATATTAACTAAGCTACAGAAATTTTCAAACCTCACCAGTTGTCCACTAATGTTTTTTTACTGCTTCAGGATCCGATCTGTGATACCACATTTAAACTATTGAGATCTTTGTTGAAGGTGTGTTTGGGAATGGAGGGAAATGAATAAGACAAAATCATTTTCCATTCTGTTGAAGACTGAACAAAATGCCTGAGGATTCAGTACATGGCAAATTGCTTTGACTCTGGTAGGCCCCTGCTCAGGGGCTACCTGGGTGTTAGCACCTTGGTTGTCTCCCTTCCGTGTCCGGTTCCCAACAGGTGGCGGTGACACCCTGTGGCATATGATTGAGTGATCCATGTGCCTAAAGCCTGGTGTCTGCTCTCATAGCCCTAGGCCCCACCACCCGTTGCACTAAATGTAAGTTTTTGGAGCGCAAGAGAGCCCTCTTGCTGCTGGGAAGTCCATTAGAGCAGTGGTTACAATTTAGTGGTCAATAACAGGGCTGTGTTGTTAGACTCCCCGGTTTAAACCCTGCTTCTACTTTGTGACTTTCAGCAAGGACTTTAGCCTTTAAGTTTCACTTTTCTCATCCCCATTTCGCAGAGAGGAAATGAGAGTTGTAGTGAGGTTTAAATTGTGTAATTTTCAGAGATCGTAAGGAAGAGGGCCCCTACAGAGTAAGTACTTAGTAAATGTTACCTGCTATTATCACTATGTTCCAGAAACCGTGGGTGGCCCAATCTCCCAATTGGGTGGTCAAGAAGTAACCAAGACTCAATGTTAGAGCAAAAGCATAAGGAAATCAAACTTTTATTTATTGTCCAGAAGAGGATGAGAGTTCTAAGGAAGACTATTCCATTGATAAAAGGAAAGAAATATGAAACTTGGTAATAGGATTCTAGAAAGCAAAGAAAATGAAAATTTTCACTACTGCAAATCAGGTGGGGCAAAGGTCACGCTAATCCTCTTTGTGTGGGTCCAATTTTAATCTATTTGTGGCTGAAGTGAGCACAGTTCTCATCACCATCTTAAGCTTAGCTCACATTTAAGCAATGAATAAACAGGAAAAATGTCCTATTTTGTAGAGATTAATTTTATAGTGACCATCAGGAATACTTCAGTTAGATTTCTACAGAAAAAGGCATATTGTATAACTTTTATAATAAACATAACTCGGAATTTGCATGGTGTTTGGCATTTTTCAGAGACCTTTCATACTCCCCTTTTCATGTGACTCTTGAACTAAGGGAGGGTGTAGGAATTATGATATATATTTTGTTGAGATAGAAGCTCAGAGGGATGAAAGCATATCAGAAAGGGCCTCATAGCAGAAGCGATGCCGCGTCAAAGCTTGAGGGATGTGAAGGGGGTTCTCCAGGTAGATGGGAGGGGGGTCCAGATGGAAGTGCAGCAGAAGGTAGGGAATGGTGAGAGAGGAGAGGGGAGTTCTTTTGTGAGACCAAACACCTCAATACATCTGATGCTTTGGCTAAGGGGAGCAATGTAGAGGCAGGGCTTTCTGTGCCAGGCTAGGAGTTCAGACTTCATTCTCTGCAGTGAGTTGCTTTGAGGCAAAGGACAGTAACACAATCAGGTTTCAGTTTAGGAATATCACTATGGCAGTAGTATAAAAGATAAACTCGAAAGGAAGTTAGTGGGGAGGTTCAAGAGAGCTGATATATTCTAAACCCGTTGGTCATGGGA